TACAGAATATATTATTTGAATAAAATGAATTTAGTATCATTAAAATGTTATTTTTTATTAATAATTTTCATTTTAATGTCTTATGTACAACATCTTTTATATTTGAAATATATTTAATACATAACATATTATTTGAATAAAATTAATATTTTATTATTAAAATCTTTTATATTATAAAGTTATGAATTTTGTGATATCAAATATTAGGAAGTATTGTACTTTTTTTTCGCATTACAATACTTTTATAAAATTAATAGTGTGGTTTGTAGTAGTATAGATAATTTGACTTCAGAAGATTAATATTTTTTTCAATAATAGTGTACTAAATGTTAGTAAAATATTTGATTATATTAAATATCATTCATTCTTGAAAGTGGCTTACAGCAGGACCTTTAGTAGGCTCAATTGTGTATATAAATTAGATCAATGATCCCTTGATATGTATTGTTAATTTTATTTAAAGATGTAATTGGTTATAGTACCCTTTTTACTTTAATTTTATCTTTAATAAAATATTGATACTTAATAAAAAAAAGTCAATAGTTCAAATTATATATAAATTCTTAATACTTATTTAATTGTTATTTAATATATATTCATACATAATATTCAAAATACCATATATATATATATATTGTTTTCAAATACTATATACAAAAAATAATTTCTTTTTATTTTTTATTTTTTAATTTAATTCATATAAAAATTGTAAATAAATTTTTAAAATAAATAATAATTTTTAAATAATATCTATTAGTATATAAAATTATAATGATATATATATAATTTTTTTCATATTTATATAATTTTTTTAACACCCTCTTTTTAATTATTTATTATTTGATAATTGTCTTAATATTGGGTGATATTGGATTATGTTTTGAATTGAATGAATGAGTATTTTATTAGAGTTATGGTGCAGGGAGTCTTGTTCAGGCAAGATAGATCTCGCTTAAGCGAGACAAATCTCGTTCAAGTGAGACAAAACGCCTAGAACCACATGTTTTTAAGGCAATCTTGCTTAAGCAAGAATGAGATAAACTCAGCCCAACCGTCACCTTATCCAGGTAAGAGTGATCTCGCTCAAACGAGTAGAGATCTCACTCAAGTGAGTTGAGTCGCTCAGGTGAGGACTCACAAGAAAAATGTCCAACTTTCTTTATGTTGTCTTACTCAGGCGAGCATGACCTTGCTCAAGAAAGAATATCAGAAAATGCTTGGGGTAGCTACTGTCTAGTATTATCGCCCAAGCAAGAGGCAAGAATCACATCTCAAGTGAGAGCTCATGAGACTAAAGGATATTTAAGAGATTTTTAACATAAAAAATTTATTTTTACTCCAAACCTTATGTTCCCTTTTCATTTTCTCTAAACTCTCATTTTTTTCCCTTAGATAAAACTTTTTTAAACTTCAATCACTTCTCAAATCACAACTTAGACTTCAAATCTAAATGACTCCAAGTAAATTTCCCTAGATTTAATTTGGTTTTCTTCGTTCGTTTCTCTTGTTTTTCATTTCTCAAGGATATCGCTTAATAACCAGGAAAATTTTCGTTGTCGAGCAAGAACCTTTATCAATCTCTCTCTGAATACTCATCTAGAGGTAAAGAGAGCTTTATTTTATCATTTATTAAAGTATATATTTTATGCTCATGGGATCATTATTATGTAATTAGTGTATGAGAATGTATGTTAGAGTAATAGCACTTGCGAGAAAAATTGATGATATGTGTGTTTGATTATTTGGCTTGAATGTTTACATGAAATACAAAATGAGAAGTTTTAAGAAAGCATGATGTTGTACTTGTTGATTTGGAATGTATGGACTATATGTCGAAATATGTATATGAGAAATTTGTGATTATGATAATGGGTTAATGATATTAATTTGAATGACTTAATGATTGGAACTATATTGAAATGATATGAATGATGTGGACTTAGTCTGAAAGTGCTTTACTAAGCACGATCTTATGATTGAAGAATGAAAAGATTCTTAATATGAGTATAAGTGCTAAATATGGAATGAATCTAGTGTGAATAGTTACAGAGATACATTGGGAGTATAAAGTTTGGAGACGATGGAAAACCTCGGGGAAACTTAAGGTGGTGAGCGACATTCGCTTATGTGTACACACTCTTTTTTAGAGCAAATGCATCACATGACCTCACACTCGTTTTATGACTAGACTCTTGACCATACATTTGCTAAGGGACCATTATTGTATACATTGTATCCATATGTATGGGTTAACCGGTGACTATTTACCTAGTTGAGTAAGACCTCGAGAAATGTTGGAGGCATCATATTTTTATGATCATAGTGCACTGGGAGTGTGCGTTTGAAGGGAGAAATTAGATGATATATGACAAATTTGTGTGTCGTAACAATATAATTATTGTTGTTCTGTAAATTGGTTGTGGAATAATTATGTTTTCTTTTATGATATGAATATGATTTTCTGTAACATAACTTGTAAATGGTAGAATAAACGCTCATCCTTACTAAAATTTTTAGGAAATCAGAATGAAGACACCCTAGGAAAAATATTAGATTGATAGATAGCTTTATACAGTGTAGACTTAACTATATATTTAATGAGTATTAGAGAACTTGCTAATTTAAGTTAGTTATAGACTATGATAATGTACAAACCTATATTTATATTTTGGAATAGAATTGTATTATAGTATTCCCTAAGGCTTTCCTGTAAATAATAGAATCCACCATACCTTGTGTATATACATTTATAGAAGTGCGGTTAGGACTTCAGCAGCTCTGATTTACTTATGTACTTACCATGACCACGATCATCTTGGAGGACCGACTCGAGTTGCTTTTGAGTAGATCCCAAGTGTTGAGGTCACGACTGACTCTAGCAATCTCTATCTTGAAAATGATGAGGATCTAGTGGAGATTGAGAGATAGCATGGGGATGATTAGTGCCTCGTCCTTAGTATTTTGGCTTTGAGTCATTACTACTCAGGGACTTAGCTTACTTTAATTATGTAATTATTATTTTAAGTCTTATATATTTTGATGAACAGTTTGTAAATTATTATACACATTACATATAAATGCAAGTTTAGTATCATATTTTGTAAATATTTTTGATATTCCATAATATTTAAATTTACAATTTGCCTTATTTAATATCATCGTGCTGACAAACTTGGTAAATAATTTTATTTATAAAAAGATTTTAATTTACTTGTATTTATATCGCCTGTCATTTACAAAAATTCTCATTTTATCCTGATTTTGTACAAATAAATTGAGTAGTTTAAGATTGAAAATTTAAGATGTTACATTTTTAATCTTTTTTCGTTCTAGTACTTATATAAAAAAATTAAACTAATCCTTATCATATTAAAAAAATAAAATATTTTACACTTAACTCACGAATATAATCTTCTCATTATTATATTTGGTTACTATAATATTGTTTAAATTTAAATAAATTATTATTTATAATCTATCATAAATTATTACAATCCTATTTTTTAAAGTCTTTATACATTATATTTTTTATTGCTGACTTTATAAATAATATATATTATATTTTGATTCCCAAAATAAAGCTTTTAAATTAATCCTTGTAATAAAAGTTCAAAACTAAAGAAAGGACTTTCACTTCTCTCCAGCAAAAATGAATATTAAAAACCTTTAACAACTACAAAAAGTCAGTTCAAATTCTCCCTATTATAGGTTTATCGTGTATCATCGTATATCAATTACCTTTTTTTTTTCCTTTAGATTTCATTCTTTCAATCTTATGATATAACGTTAAAATTTATGTGATTTCTATTATTTTGCTTTATTTTATCCAGTTTTAATATATTTTTTGTTGAATTTTTCATTCATCGTTTGCCATCTCTCGATTGTATATGCTCAAGAAACTACAAAGTAATGGTTTGTGCTTTGTAGCAGTGAAGGTGGACAGTTTTTTTTTACTTATTTCCATCCTATCAATTCCATTTTGACATCGATTTTTTAATTTATTATTATTATTCTTTTTGTAAAAAGTTTCATTCTCCGTTGCCAAAGATTGGAGGTTTGTAAATGTAATTGGATTAATTGATTTGTCCGAACCTATTCTTTCTTCTTTCTCCTCGATTCATTTTTTCTCTTCTTCATTTCATTTTCTTTCATATGAAAAATTACCATATGATGAAATAACAAGAAAACTTTGAGTTAAACAAAAGATAATATAAATTATGTTTATATTTACAAATATTAAGAAGTATGATTATATTTTTATTATAATTTTTTTATTTTCATGAGAATATTAAATTCTTACCCCTTTTATATGAATTATTTTATTAGAAAACTTAATTAAAAAATAATTGAGAATACTAGTATCTTAATAATACTTTTAACATATTCATAATAAACATAAAAATTTAATATTCTGAAAAATAATGAAAAATCTCTATCAAAAGTTTTTGATATCTCGAAAAAAGGGTAAATAAATTTCATTAGTTTGATTTAATTTAAACATAAATATTAAATTAAGTTGCTTTAACTTTTCGAATTTCTCAAGCTGGTCTATATCAGTAACGATTGCTGATTTCAACTGGTTTGACTTTTATATTCAAGAACTCACATAATATAAAATTACAAATAAGTAAAATACGTTTACCCCCACATCCATATGAATGACTTGGCCGGTTCAATGAATCGTATGAGAAATTTCGAAGTACAATAAATTTATATGTTGTAATATGTATGACCAAGTCTTGCCAGCGTATAGGGTATCTCATTGTCCACAACCTTTACCTTCTTTGTTAAAAATATATAATATTTTTAATTTAATAATTAAGGAGATTTATAAAAATAAAGAATAAGGGAATTGGAATGTTTTTCATGACAGATGTGGAATTATTCTTTAATCTTTACAGTGGAGGGAAATAAATACAAAAATAATAATTATTAATCCCTTAAAACCTTGTTTTATATTTTTAATAATGATGTGGTGGTAGCGTTGGGTGGGTGGCAGAGAGAGAAGTAGTAAAGAAAACATACATGGAATTGGAAAACTCGGAGTCGTCGTATCCAGGGTCTGGGAATTGGCACATCCCAATTGATCTGTTCGGTTCCAAAAAACATGCCGGAGTTCTTGGTGGCGTTCTGGCGTTCGCCGATGCATCCGGTAACATAGTCTTCAGGGTGAACCGCCACCCACCCAATCCCAACTCATCGCCCCCTCCAAAGGACAAGAAACTCTTGCTCGATGCCGCAGGCAATACCATCTTCTCAATCTACCGTCACCAAGTTAGTCTCTCTCCTTTTCCTTATTTCTCTAAATTAAAAAATAAAATAATTTTAATTTTTTTATAATTTTGGTTTAGAATGGGTGTTGGAAATGTTATAAGGGGGTCAACGATGGGAACAAGGAGTTGGTGTTTAGAGTGCAAAGGACCCTCAAAACGCTTACTAAAGTTGAATTAGAGGTATATTTCGATGGCGAGAATTCCACCCATGAAGGTTGTGACTTGAAAGTGAAGGGTTCCCCTTTCCAGAAATCATGTTCAATCTATAAAGACGCTGACTTGGTGGCACAGGTATCCAATTCTTAGCTTTATTTAAATGACTTACACATTTTTCATTCATAGTTATTATAATTTATTCTTGGAATTTTACTATATCTTGTTTTACTAGTACATGTAAGCTAAAGCCGAGATTTATACATTGTGACGATTGAGTGTTTAATATTATGATTACATCTCGAACATTATAAGAATACATGAAGCATTGCAATTTACAATTTAGAAAGTGCATTACAGTCTGGCGGATCAAAAACACTGTTTCTGACTAACATATTTTTGTGCAGACTAGCCTGATGTACAAGCTTCACCAAATATATGTCAGTAGGGGTAAATTTCGCCTAACAATTTTCCCTGGGACTATTGACCATGCTCTTATTGTGGCTTTGTTTGTAATATTTTTGAATGGGAGAAAATAATGTCATTAACAGACGGCATGCAATTGCAATTCTTTTTTAATGAGTTATATGAATATGTAACTTAAGCTGGAAGAGAAAAAGTCTTGATGTGTGATCTTTCTCTGTCTCACACACAAATTTATGCTTTAACACTGATTGACTCGTTGTAATGGATGACCAATAGGAAGGAAATGAGACATTGTTCCCTAGAAGAAGCATTGCGGCTGAAAGTGAAATCTATGCCAATTTATTTAATTTATTACTGATATTGGATTCATCTTCGGATCTTCATTCTCAAAGGTCAAGTAAATATCCTCTTAGTTATTTAATATTAACTTACAATTGAAGATGTATCCCTTTATGGCAAAGTAGTTTTCTGGGTATGTTTGTTTAAGGTGCTCGTAATGCTCTACCAGCATTTGATAACCAGAGCATCAACCAGCATTAACAAACAAGCTGAGACACTAGTATCAATTGGGGCTTGTAGATCCTTTTTGTCACCACTATTTCTGTACCAACGTGTGGAAACTACTATTTACACTTTAAGAGACTGCCGTGTGGCCTTTGACCAGCAAAAAACTAGGAAAAAACAACCGAGTTTTGTTGTGCTTTAGACAGCCTTAATATAGCCTAGAACTTTGGACATTGCACGGCTGAGCTATACTTTAACTCTTGTCTTTGTGTGGTTTTTCACACTTCAAGCAATTAAGGGTGATTTTCGGCGTTTGAATTCTAGCAAGAGTTTGGTTCGCAGAATCAAGGAACTGCTGATCAATGAATTGCAAGTCAAAATTGAAGTCAACACACTTAATTCGAAGCAAAGTAGCAAACGTAATTGAGGATTTGTTGCCCAACGTAGCTCTAATAATTTGCATTGCTGGCTAGTGTTGGACGATCCAACTCTTTGTAAATTTTAAAACAACATATTTCTCTTCATATATATTTTCTTCTAAAGCTCAACTCCCAACATTAACAAACGTGGGAGAATATAAAATGTAAGGCGTCTATGGTCATTAAAATTTAATAAAAGAAAAGTTCAATCTTGATTTAAGAAAAAGATATATATATATATATATATATATATATATATATGCATAAAAAAATCATTTTAATAATTCACTGTATATGAAAAGATAATTCCCCTGTTCTCAAGGCAAAGAGCTCTTGGGTCATCCTTAGTGGTCTTCAAACTGCTTGAGGCGTGGAAAGACACCATCATTATGCTGCTATTGTCAACCACATCTAATTGCTGCCGAGGAGAGATTGGAATGTTACTATAGAAGAACATTTCTTTCGTGAATCCAATCAATGCGCAGATTGGTTAGCATAGGAAGGAGCAGGAAATGATACCAAATTGAGAAGCTATGGGAATCTTGTTCCCCTAACTTTAGTTTCACTGTTTAGCTTACGTTATGGGGTGTATTTATCTTTGCCAATTGTTGTCCTTTATTGTTCTGCAGCCCAAAAAAAAGGATAATTGTTAGACATTGCTGATATAAATGGTTTAACACAAAAAAAAATATGATTTTTATATTAAATATGAAAATGTTTAATACAAAATGAGTTCATTAATCTTTCATGTGATGAATATTTTTAGTATAGATATTTTTTTTCATTGTATGCTAAGCAAACATCGTTAATTACTTTTAACGATGACTATTTTAATTTAAATTTAATAATACTTTTAAATTAATTAAAAACAATAAATTTTGTCATGTCTAATATTTATCTAAAAAAAATTACTTAAGTGAATAAGACATAGTCTTATGTAGGATGGATTGTAATTTTGAGTCTCCATTCATTCATTTTAAGTAAAGTAAATATAAGTCTTACAGATATTTCTTTCTGAAGATAAAAAAGTTTTCTTCTTATCTTGTAATTTAACACCATTTTTTCCTCTTACCTTGTATTTTGGTTGAGGGCAAAGAAAATGGTGGTAATTTTTTTAAAACTTAAATTAGAAAGAAGATAAGAGAAGAAAACAATTGAATTCATACTTTTAAATTTCATCTTTTTTTTTATTTTCTTATTAAGTACATAAAAAATTATTATTTATATCTTTTTCTATTTTTGTATCATTTAAATAAATCATTAAAGTCTTAACAAAATATTTTGTGTACAATTATTAGGGACAATTTTTAGTTATGTTTTTTTAAGTGAGAAATAAAAAATCATTATACACAATAATTAAGGTTTAGTTGAAAAGAAGATGTAAAAAAAAGAGGCTAACACAGTAACACTTATGCTATGTGCAACAGTAATTAGCCGCCCAACAGCGAATTGTAAACTCGTCTTGACATTACTGGGCATTGTTTCTTTTTCTGAATTGGGTAGAAGGCAAGGGGAGTTGAATTGACAAAGAAATAAGACTGGGGACTGTATTCATACATTTATTTGGCCTTTGCTTGTTTCCCTAGCACAAGCACCGCTTCATACCATAGAAAGGATTCTCTGTTCCTCTATGCATTGAATTGAATTGAAAAGCAATACGAGTGAGAGAATGGGAAGGCAGAAAGGAGAAGGTGCGAGAAGCAAATCACGTCCTTCAAGTAGCAGGTTTACATCAATCCCTAATTTCACAATCCATACCACTATCATCATCATCATCTCATCCATTTTTCTTCCTTGCAGCCTGGCCGCCTCACTCTTGCCCTCCGGCTCCGCCGCCGCCGTCGGGTTCGGTGGCTTTGTCGGCAGTTCGCGTCTCGATCCTCCTCCTTCGTCCGAAGATTCTCTCTCCTTTGCCGTATGTTGTTTTTTCTTTTTATCTAGCTTTTGCTCAATTTTTTTTATTATAATTTTAGTTAACTCATATTTTGTGTTCCTAATTAACGTACAAGATTGGTTAATAAACTGAGTTTGAGTTCCTTCAATATTTTTTGTTTCTTTTGGGGTTTTATGCTAAGAGGCTTTATTTGTTGCTTCCAATTGAGTTATTGGAGCTGGCTAGAATGTCAGTGTCACTTTCTGATCAATGTATTCATGCATTGACATAATGTCGTTATTTCGTCTCATATTTATTGGGTACGCAGGATGTTGATAGTGAGATTGCGGTGCACTTAAAGAGGTTAGGCAGGAAGGATCCTACCACTAAGGTAATTTTTGGATTAGCTTCTGTACTAGTTCATTAGAATGTCTGACATGATCAAATGCAACTCGTTATAGTATTCTGTATGCCTATTTTGATGTGTGTTGACCGATTCCTCTCCATGTTTTTGGATTTGCACCTTTATCAATTAGCCAATTGTAGATGACGAATATTCAATGCAAGCATGCGCGAAGTGTAAATAGAGAAACATATCATTTTTTATTATTTTGTTATTGACTGAGCTTAATGGCACTGTGTGATCCATGTTGCCAACCTCAAGTAGTGGGATAAGGCTTGGTTGTTGACTTGTTATATTTGGAAACATGATGGTGCCACTTGCTGTTAGAACATGAAGTTTGCTGAGTTTGTGTGAAGCTATATTTAATGATAATGGTAGTTTTCTCTTAGTGCTTTGCATTTAATATGGAATGCTGAACATCATTGACATGGGTGCACAATGGATGGTGCATAGCATCTGTCTGTCTAATTGTCCAGTGGGTGGGATTGGCATTGCTGTTCTCCTTTTCACAGTTTGTTTAGTTATGCTCATGCACCTGTTCTATCATTGATTTCCTTATCTGTTGATGCTGAAGTGAATATTTGGACATAATCTAATAGGTTGGAAGTCAGTTAATGGCTGTTCAATTTTTCACCTTTGCCCAAACTGTAGTGCCATTGTGTTGAATAGGGGTCTTTCTTGAGGATTTAGCTCTTCTAAAGTGATGAGATGTGTAAAGTGAGAAATTGAGGGGCCCGGCCATAAACCATTTATTTGAATTCAAGTATTTTATAAACATAACCAACTTCAAATCAATGGTGGATAAGTCCTCACTTTTGCACTTTACACGTCTCCTTACTTTAGGGGAACTAAATCCCTTTCTTCATACTTTATTTGCTTGGGTGCCCATTAAGTTCTAATTCACCCCATTTGTTTTCTCAGTTTACATAAAAGGAGGGTCAGGAAGGAGGATTTGACTCCACTGCAGTAGGAGTTATAACCATTGATTGAAAAATTAATGATTGAGATTTAAACAACTATGAAATTCACTATCCATGTGCATGTATTTAGTCATTATCTCAACTGTTGATTTTTTAATCAATGGTTATAACTCCTTATTTTACTTGCTAAAGTAAAACTCCTACTTTTGAGGAGCCAAATCCCCCTTTTTGATCCTTTATTTTATGTTTACTTGTTTAGTTTTTATGTGAATGCACGAGGTTGACTATCATTGTGCTTGGCAATGGCTAACTTCTTTTTTGTGAGTGTGAAGTGGTGTTTTCTTTCCAACTTATAATTTCTCTCTGCTGCAATTGCAATGTGTTATTGTTGGCCTGTTTGTTGATGAGGTCATGATGACAATTTTTTGGGATAAAGATTGGTTGAAGTTTTTAGACATTTATTATGATAACTATTGTAGTTAACTTAGAGGTTGATTAGATAACATTTTCTATCTGTATCAATGTGTATACTGTATAGTTAAATTAATGTTTCATCTATTTTCTGTGATTTAAGAACTTTTAAGAAATATTTTTTCGCATTCATTTCATATGTATAAAATGATAACTAGGGCATCATGGTGCTTGTGAATCTTTGATTGGTTTCTTTCTCCTTATATTGTATGTTGTTGACTGTGACCATCATGACGACTACATTCATTTATTGTATCTACTTGTGTTTTGTCATCCATAGTTGAAATATGTCTAATTGGGATGTAATGAATTAGTCTTACCCAATAATTTTGGATGGTGATAAATCTAATTTTTATACATCATAATCTCATTGGCCTTTTATTTGTCCTTTGTATTATTTTCTTAAACAGCTTAAGGCATTGGCAGCTTTGTCTATGCTGGTTCAACAGAAGTCGGCAAAAGAAATTGTTCTAATTGTTCCCCAATGGGTATGGATATTTAATTGTTTGTCTCGGCATTCCTTGTATCAGGTCTCTTACCTTTTATATGATGATGAACATCTATGTTAAATGGTTACAAATTGTTCTTTTTAATAGTGACTTTTTTCCTTTCAGAAGAAAAGAATTCCCAATGCCTGTCTAATGGTTTATTAGTTTGTAAATAATTGTCAGATTTTTATTGCATAAATCATGGTTACCATTTGTTGAAAACTGTTATGGAAGTGGAACTGAGAAAAGAGACAGGAATACAGGACTCAGTGATAAGATGTGTATGTTTGCTTGTGTCACTTTTCTTTGAACATATTGAAGTGGGTGTAGTAGGACAATGTACTCGAGAGATGTTAATCTGATTCTGTATGCTATTGTTCACATTAAAAAATCTGAAAATTGAGATACATCAGACAGAGTTCTAGCTTTCAGAGAAGGCTTTACAATTGTAACAAATTGATTTCAGTTGGGCTAATCAACTGTAACAGATTAACTGGCAGAAGCTTCTAGAGATTATAGCTAGCTGACTTGACACACTAATTATCTCAATACTCTACCATGTGAAACATAAATAGACATCTAGTTTAAGTATGTATATAAAGTTAGACATTGCAGTGGATGTTAGACTTCCATTTATTTTGTGATCATCATACATCTTTGTCATCTGGTGGATATGTGATCCTTAATTTTATTAATGCATTAGTTCAAGCTTTGAAGATACTTATTTATTATGCTTTTGTTCTTGTGTAGGCATTTGAATATAAAAGGCTGTTGCTGGACTACAATAGGGAGGTTAGGCGGGCCACTCATGATACAATGACTGCTCTTGTTACTTCTGTTGGGTTAGAACTTTTCTGAGGGACATTTATGCATGATTCTTTCTTGATTTTTCAACTGTATAACTTAAGAGTATTTGAAAATGGAAATTTGAAAATATGTTGCTTAATTTTCTGAGTAGCATTTATGCAGGCTATTTGACAACAGCAGATCATGCCTTAACTGCTTGGGGATTTGGTTCTCTGTTGTAGCATGCTCTCTATTCATACTAGTTTTAATTCTTCCATTTCTATTTTCTGATTGGTTATGGCTTAGTTACTTGCATCATTAGCTTATTGAGAATCAAAGCATCTTTCTGAAAAAGTTGAGATTTTAGGCTGCCTAATAACAATGAGAAAAGCCCACTGGTTCCCACTAGGTGGGAACGTTTTAGTTTATCCATTATACATTTTTGTTAATAGGTGTATTGTGTACTGGTCTGCTATAAACTGCATTTCAACTCGTTAATAGCATCAGAATTATCTTGAATTAGGATTAGAGTTATCTACTTGTGTAATTGGTCCAATCCATGATCCCTCTGTGAAGTCTAGAACTGTTGGAGGCTTGGAGCGAACTTAATTTACACAGTGCGAGATAGCTGACTTGACTTTCCACACCCTTTTCAGGAGAGATTTAGCTCCACATCTGAAGGCTTTGATGGGACCATGGTGGTTTGCTCAATTTGATCCAGTTTCTGAAGTTTCTCAGGCAGCAAAAAGGTCTTTGCAGGTTTGCTACATTGGTTATTACAATTGTGTTTTACATGGTTTCTTTTTGTTGTTGAAAATGGAAAAGGTTACCTTAAAGTGTGTGTAATACTCTTTATAATAGGTTGATGTATTTGGTTTCACCTTGGTTCTGTAAGGAACAAAATTATCTGTCATTGATGCTTACTGTAGTATTCTGTGTAGGGGATACATGGCTTGTCATTGTTTACTATCTACTAGTAATAGTATCCATTTTAATATATAATAGTTCTTATGGAATGAAGAGAGAGCCATAAAGGAGAAGCTTTCTCTGTAATTTTTGATATAGTTTTAGAAGAGTCAACTCGTTGGGAATTTCCCAGTTAATTGATAAATTCATAGATAGGTGTGAAAAGATGCTATATGTCCCAGTCCACAATCAAGCAAGACTGCCATTGGGTATTTTGATATATAGTGTCAGTTTTGTGAAGTCAGGATAAGAATGATCTGATAGACCTTAAACTTGGAAAGTTTATGTGAGAAGGAATAAGCAGACAAAGACTCAGTAGGCCTGAATTATTAGTGTTTGTGCAGTATTTGTGTCCTTTGGCAGTTATTTAAGCAGTTATGGATCTGAATTACTAGTGTTTCTGTAGTATTTGTGTCTTTAAGCAGTCATTTTGGCAGTTATGGATTTGTGTCAGTTAGTGAGATATAATTTGTGTGATAAACCTGTATGTGGCAGTCAATTTGTCAATTTGTTGTTTATGATGTTTTGAAGGAGGAAACTGCTTGTTAAGGGAAAACCCTGGGTAATTATTGTACTTTTCTTCAAATCTGGTCTACAACCCAGATTCCTCTAGTAAAATTTAACTATTTGTGTGTTCAATCCTTGAGCTATGCATCTGAAAATATCTTTTCTTTGATGTATTTCAGTGTGAATATTAGCTCAGAAACCAATAAGGAGTTGTCCTATGTTAGTTACTTTGAATAAATCTTCAATATAATTTGTGTTTCAGTCATTATCTAGAGCAACGAAGTCTTAAGTATATGCTTTTCCTATGCAGATCCATGTGTGCTTAAAGTTATTGCTTATATTATACTTATACATGCTGATAAATATGACTTATGGCATAGCCCCGACTTTGTTAGAAAACTTTGAATGTTTTGGAAATGTCATAATGAGATTTAGTAATTTGAAAGTAGGTTTTGTACCTTTTCTGGTTCTTTTTCACTAACTAATGCTTAGTTTTACTACCCAGCTTTGCTTAAAAAAATTACAGCATTAATTTTTCTGAAAAGAAGTGAAGAGCGGAAGTTATTAATATCCTTAAATTGAAATATTTAGGACTCATTTTTAAAGTATCTTTAAAATGTACATGGATGTCAGAATGCATGCTTTTTCTTGTTATATGTATGTTGTGTTGTGTTTAGTTGACTGTTCAATCCAGTAGTAATCTTTTAGTGTACATGGAGTACCAAGGTATATTCTGCACAACAGCTTTTAATCCTTTGTTTAATTGTGATAGGCGGCCTTTCCAGCTCAAGAAAAGAGGCTTGATGCTTTGATTTTATGCACAACAGAGATTTTCATGTATCTAGAAGAAAACCTAAAGCTCACACCACAAAATTTGTCTGACAAAGCTGCAGCTACAGATGAGTTGGAAGAGATATACCAGCAGGTATATATTGAGAACCAATTTAACATATTTGTAATTCAAAGTCTTGAATTTATAGATTTGCGCTGGTTTTCCTTTTTAGTTGACTAAAAATGTTCTATATGGTTAATTATAATGGGTGGATGTCTTGTGTTGGTATAACAAATTCTTGATAAACTGTTTCTTTTAGTATTTTTATGATGAAAGGATTTTAAAATAATGGTGGAGACCTTACTTCAGGTTTATGTTGCTATTTTATTTTGCATCAAGGTATGATTGACACTGGATAAATAATAATAAACTGATTTTATACAGATAGCTGTTTTGAATTTTATGCCTTTTTGATATAATCATTTGATCAAATGTATCAAATTATCCTGGTGACATACCAGGAGAAGAAAATTTACCAGAAAATGAAAGAAATTACCTGACTTTTCATTGAACTCCTGTAGTGTAAACTGATATTATTATTTATACCAAGGTTGTTCATTATTCTTCCAAAACTATTGTGAGTAATATCCTACCTAGGATCAAAAGGGTAGGTAAGACGCCTAAAATCTGAGATCATAACACAGACCACAAGATCTTACCTAGGTCTTATCAAAGTGAGTCAGTAGATGTGATTGAGACTGCTGATTCTGAAATTTTCTTTGTAAGATTGTGAAATAGTGATCTTGACAACCTTGTCTGTGAGATGTAAGTATGACCTGGCCTGCCATAATTAAAAGGTTGTGCCCTCTTCTTGGACTAATTTGATTTTAACTAGAGGACCACATAAATGAATAATGATATGACTAGTTTCTAGTCTGTTTGCCTGCCCATTGTACTGCCTAAATAGTACCTGATTAAATTGCTGTGTAAATGCAATTTTTTTATTCCTATCCTCTATTCTTACACTTCTTAATCTTATCTAATATTCATTCCAGGTGGCCTGTTCTAGCTAACAGTTTAAAGATTCAGTGTTTGACATGGTTAAAGGGTTCAAATTTCCTTTCTGGACTACATTTTTTACTTGAAGTTTCTTCTTTATTTTGGTTTTACAGGTGATATCATCAACTTTGTTAGCTTTGGCCACACTTCTTGATGTCTTAATTTGCTTACAACAAGAGCGACCTGGTTTTGAGAACATAAATGCTGAACCTAAACATGCTTCGAAGGCTAGGGTGGCCGCTGTTTCTTATGCTGAAAAGCTGTTCAAAGACCATAAATACTTTCTGGACTTCTTGAAGTCCCAAAGACCTATTATTCGATCTGCTACCTATAGTGTATTGAAGAGCTTAATAAAAAATATGCCACAGGCTATTAATGATGGAAATATAAAAACTCTTGCTGGTGCAATTCTTGGTGCTTTCAATGAGAAGGATCCAACTTGTCATCCCTCAATGTGGGATGTAATAATACTTTTCTCTAGAGGATTCCCAGATGCTTGGTCTTCCTTAAACGTTCAGAAAAGCATACTGAATCCATTTTGGAATTTTCTTAGAAATGGTTGCTTTGGATCCCAGCAAGTTTCATATCCAGCTTTGGTTTTATTCTTAGACAATGTGCCCCCTAAATTTATTGGAGGGGATAAGTTTTTTCTCGAATTTTTCCAGAACTTGTGGGCAGGAAAGCAAATTTCCCTATCTGCAGATAGACTAGCATTTTTCCAGGCACTGAAAGAATGTTTTCTTTGGTCATTGAAAAATGCTTCAAGGTACAAAATTTTCCTTTCAATTGTGGCTATCTGTATTTGGAGGATCTATTACTCCAGTGTTTGTGTCAGTATCTGTCCCTCACCCCCAAAAGGAAAATATTTAGCGTTCCGTTTTTTTTTTACCAAACTGTCTTCTGTTTGTATCAGATACAATGATGGAGAGGACGCAATCAGTCATTTCCGAGTTGCTCTTGTTGATAGTGTCTTAGTAAAGCTTTTGTGGCAGGATTTCCTTACAACTGGAAGCTCAAAAGATAATGTTATAGTAAACTCAGGAAAAGCAACAGATTCATCTGAGGAAAATGTTTCTCATAACAAGAAAGTGGATATGCTGAATACAAAATATCCAATGCCTTATTTGCAAGAGTTGGGAAAGTGCTTTGTTGAAGTCCTCTTAGGCATTTATATATTAGATATCAATCTTCTATCCGTTTTTATTGTGGAACTTGAGGATAATTGCATGTGCATTCTTCAGCAAGCAGGTAATGTGGAGGTTGTTGAACGAATCATTTTGTTCATGTTATTGCTGGAGCAACATGCTGTGATGAAAGGTGCAACTTGGCCCATGGCCTATATTGTGGGACCAATGCTGGCAAAGTCTTTCTCAATCATTAGATCTTCTGTAAGCTAATATTTATACAGACTTCTTTTGCCACTTAGTCTGATCTATGTTTGGTAATTTATTTATATGTGATTTAAATTATTGGTTTAATAATAAAAAAGTTTGGCCTATGCTCCTGCATTATGGAATATCTTCTGTCATCAATAATGTTATCTTAGTCAGAGTAGAGTTCCCGTTTCTTGCACATCATAATTGTTTTGTGGTATACGTGTTTATATTTTATCCATGCATAGTATCGGTCCCTTTTTTAGAGCTTTAAAGAAACTTGGTTTATAATGGACTCTGTTCTTACTCTGTAAAATTTTTAGGTCTTCTGAACGGAAGTAATTTATAAAGTCTAGACACAGCCAGGTGGTATACAGAAGGGATATTTGTTTTATAAGTCTTTAAAAGAGGTGGCTCTATGCACAATTAAAATATAAATAAGTGAATCATCAGTTTGTGGGAATCAGTTATGATGTCACCACTGTTGTTGATACAGGCTGTTAATAATAGGGGTTAAAGTTACTTAGGCCTGTGGTTTGCAAAATTCAATCGATTTCAATTATTACTTTGAAAAAAAGTGATGTTTCCTTCCAAGTTTTGCGAGACTCACCCTGTTTTTTTACATCTCAGGATTCACCAGGTACTGTGAGACTTATGTCAGTTGCTGTTTCAATATTTGGACCACAGAAGATGGTCCAAGAAGTTTTTATTAAAAACAAAGGGCACTATTCTAGTCAGTTTTTATATGATGGGGATAAAGTAGTGGAAGCTGAAGACTTTATGCAAATATTCAAGAATATATTTGTTCCTTGGTGTCTGCAGTCAAATAGTTGCTCAACTAATGCTCGGCTAGATTTATTATTGGCACTGCTGGATGATGAGTATTTCTCAGAACAATGGTCTTTCATTATAAATTATGTGATTAACCAGAGTTATTCTGAGTTCCAACCTGGATTACTGGATGCTGACAATGCAGCAATGTTGGCCATGCTCATAGAGAAAGCAAGGGATGAGAGCATGAAGAGGAGGGTGGGAGATGATTCCAGTTATAGACAAGGCACTAATGCTGAAGATTGGTGTAATGAATATCTGGAATCATCTGCTATTGCTGTTTCCCGATCTCTGCTTCCTTTTAGCACTTCTCATGTGCAGTTTGTGTGGTATGTCAATTCAAAATTTTCAAAGGCATGATGCAGTAATGTTTTGCATTATTTATGAATTTACCTGTTAAGAACTAGCATTATTTATGAATTTACCTGTTAATAACAAGTGTCAATAATTTGATTATTACATTATTTTTTATTTTATTTTTTAAATCCAAAATTTAGTTATCTTCATGTATAAAATAAGTCATTGATCCCCATATCTTGCATGGGACAGATGAGTAATTTCTGAAATTGGATACAGCAAGCAAAAATGGGGAGAAAGAAATGGGTGGGAAATGGAATGCATCAGGTGTCAACGCATGGCTAATTTGCTTATATATGTGTATATGCATTTATATATAATCTAGTCTCATGGAACTCACACTGAAACCTGAGTCTATTTTTTCATTGGGTGTGTTTGGGAATAAGGGCCAAGGGGAGGGAAATCTAGAGTACTATATGTAGTATCTATTCGTATTTAAATTTATTTTGAACCCTGTCCCAGAGAAATACAAGGTTGATGATTTGTGGGGTCTTCACTCTGATCTTATGCTTTGTACTTGCAGCTCTCTTCTTGGTGGTTCAACAGAAGGAAGATCCATGTCATTTCTGTCCAGAAATGCAATGATTCTCATCTATAAGGAGATTTTCAGGAAGTTACTTAGTTTTATTCAGGTTTCACCTTTCTTTTGGGTACAGAATGCAGCTTCTATGTTAAGCAATGGTGAAAAGATGTGTGTAGAATTTGATAGTTCTCTCAATGTTGTTGAGATAGCGCAGTTTGCTCTTGAGATACTTGATGGTAGTTTCTTTAGCTTGAAGACACTTGATGGGGAAAGTGGACTTGTATCAGGAATTTTATCTGCAATTTTTGTCATTGAATGGGAGTGTAATTTATGTAAAGCTCTGGATGATTCACTTGATGATAAATCAATGACCCAAATCAAGGCCAGGCTAACATTTGGTGAATATGCGTGTGCTTTATGTAACAAGATCAATGTTCAGTTTCTGAAAAGCCTTTGCTTAGATAGCCGCAAGAGATTGTTGAACATCTTAATTCAGTCAGTAAGATTTGCAATATTTGCTGAAGACAGGCTTATTAATGACAGAATCACGTCATTATGCTGTACATGGGTGCTTGAAGTTCTTGAGTGTGTCTGTGTGGATAAAAATGAAGAACAAAATTTGCTACATCATCTGCTTAGCAAGGGTGAAATGTGGCCTGTTTTTGTTGTTCCAAACTTTAGTATGACAAAGGTATTGACACATTTAGTTATTTGACTCTATTAATATTCATCAGTTTATTTTTTATTTTTGAATATATATTATTTTGCTATGCATACTGGGACAGCAATATATTGAGACTACATCAATGTGGATATAGCTAATTGAGCTTTAGTAGCTTTCACCAGGGGACAAGTCATTATAGCATATAAGGCTCCTGTGGGGTTTGTTGACTCTTGTAGAGTATTGTCAGTACTCATGCTATTTTTTTGGGGTACAATTCAAAATTTTATTTGTAAATGCTCAAACAAATCTTAATGCCTACAAAAGAATAGTGTATGTATTGATGGAACTAGTTAGGGCTCTAGCCTAATATATATAAAAAAATAACATGCTACTTTTAACCACCAGTTTATACCAAATGCAGGTTTCAGGACACCTGAATTTTGTAGCTTTAATTGACAAATTAATCTCAAAAATTGGGATGGATAGAGTTTTTGCTGGATGTGAAATGCCTGATCCATCTATGCTTGAAATAAGTCATGAGGTTGCATCTTCTGCTTGTTTAGCTGCTGAAATGCTGTGCACGTGGAGATGGCCTGGAAGCAGTGCTGTGTCTTCTTTCTTACCTCTACTGAGTGCATATGCCAAGAGAAGTAATTCTCCCCAGGAAAGCCTGTTAGATGAAATATTAGGCATCTTGCTTGATGGTTCTCTTGTTTATGGAGATTATGGCACAAAGTATTCAGTGAGTATGTGGCCAGTTCCATCTGAGGAAGTGGAAGTTATTGATGAACCATTCTTACGAGCTCTTGTTTCCTTTCTGTCCACTTTGTTTAAAGAGAAAATATGGGGGGCGAAGAAGGCATTGAATCTGATTGAACTTCTTGTGAATAAACTCTTCATTGGTGAAGCAGTAAACACTAAATGTCTTAAGGTTCTACCTCTGCTTATAAATGTACTTCTAGAACCATTGTATGGGGATGCAGAACCTAGTATAGTTGTTCAACATTGTTCTTTAGAAGAAAGATTTGTGCAAAATATTATGATAGACTGGCTGGAGAGGGCACTATGTCTCCCACCTTTGGTCACATGGAAAACAGGAGAAGGTAAATTTCTCTTCTGATTGAGACACCACATGTTAATTCCCCAGTTAGTCCTGAGTAGACAATTTTTTATAGGTAGGGATAGAGTTTTGGTAAAATTCTACATTTTTTTGTGTCCATGATTGGGCGTATGGGGCATATGCTTTTTTGTGATAGTGCTAATTGTTCACTTTGTTTAAATGTAATTCTTACCTTGAATAATTTTTATCTGAACCAAAAATTGCCATGAATATTGAATGGTATTAATGAAACTGCTCATGACTGTTGTAGACATGGAAGATTGGCTTCAGTTGGTGATTGCCTGTTATCCTTTCAGTGCAATAGGTGGCCCCCAAGCATTAAAGCCAGCAAGGAGTATCAGCTCTGATGAGAGGAAACTTCTTTATGAGTTGTTCCAGAAGCAAAGGAACGTTGCTGGTGGATCTGCAATGATCAACCAGCTTACACTGGTGCAGATGCTGCTATCAAAACTTATGGTTGTTTCAGTAGGTTATTGCTGGAACGAATTTAGTGTAGAAGATTGGGACTTTCTGTTGTCTAACCTAAGGTGCTGGATTCAGTCAGCAGTTGTAATGATGGAGGATGTAGCTGAAAATGTAAATGGTCTTGTTAATAGTTCATCTGATAATTTAAATATGATGTGTCAGAAAATTGAGAAAATTATTTTGATTTCAGATCCTTTTCCCATAAAGATTTCTGAAAATGCTCTTTTGTCTTTCTCACTTCTCCTTAAGCATTGTAAACGTCAACAAGCTGAAGAGAGAGATAATTTAAATACATTTAAATCCGAAAAGTTGGATTCTGTTAAAGATCGGATTCTAGAGGGTGTCCTTCGCTTCCTATTTTGTACTGGCATTTCTGAGGCTATTGCAAATGCATGCGGCAAAGATGCTGCGTCAATTGTTGCATTGTCACGGATTGAATATACTCACTTTTGGGAATTGGTAGCTTTTGGTGTTGTTAATTCCTCGTCACAGGCTAGACATAGAGCAGTGAAATCAGTTGAATTTTGGGGACTAAGCAAAGGGTCTATTAGTTCCTTGTATGCTATACTTTTTACTTCCAAGCCAATTCCTTTATTGCAGTTTGCTGCATATTTTATTCTTTCAAATGAGCCTGTTTTAAGTGTTGCTATTGTTGAAGATAATGCTTGTAACTCAGACACATATGCTGCTAGTGACCTGGATATCAGCCGTCTTGAAATGTCAATTGCAGAAAAAGTTCATTTGAAAGAGGAAATATCTTTCATGGTAGAAAGGGCACCTTATGAGGTTCTTGAAATGGACTTACTTGCTCACCAACGAGTAAGGATACTTTATGTGGAGATAAAGTTGAACTATCCTTTATATGTCAAGCATTTTTTTAATGTTTATGTATGCATTTACTTGTTTCGTGGGGGAGCACTAATGATGTACAAAAAACATTGTAGGTAAATGTCTTCCTTGCTTGGTCTTTGTTGATATCACATCTATGGTCATTACCTTCATCATCATCTCAAAGGGAAAGATTGATCCAGTACATACAAGACTCCGCTACCCCTGTTATCTTAGATTGCCTTTTTCAGCATATTCCTGTGGAGAATTCCATGATTCAGAGTCTGAAGAAGAAAGATGCAGATATTTCTGGTGGTTTATCAGAAGCAGGAAGTGCTGCAACCCGTGCTACCACAACTGGTTCTCTTGTGTTTTCTGTGGAATCTCTTTGGCATGTTGAATCAGAGAAAATTTCATCACTTGCTGGAGCAATATATGGCTTGATGCTTCAGGTTCTTCCAGCTTATGTACGTGGCTGGTTTAGTGACTTGCGTGATCGTAACACTTCAGCTGTCATTGAATCCTTTACAAGGACTTGCTGCAGCCCTCCTCTCATTGCAAATGAATTGTCTCTGGTATGGTGTAGTTTCTTGCCCACATAAAAAGTAGTTTGTTGTTTGATAAATTATTAGAATCCAATTGTAAGGTATGAAACTTGAGTCTACATTAGAAGTATGGGATTCTAGTGTGGGATTTACAAGACCTTGAGTTTTCTAACTACAAAAACTAGCTTTTGTGGTATGGTTGCAAATGAGCATTGCAGTGTTTGCCATGGACTAGTCAAGGGACTAGTGCACAGCTAACCAATGTCAGCGCTGGGGCTGTTGGGTGTGGTGGGATGTTATCCAATTGGAAGGCATGAGATTTGAGTCCCACATTAAAAGTATGAAATTCTAGTATGAGATTTATAAGGCCTTGAGCACTTTAACTTCAATGGCTAGATTTATAAGGCCATCATATGTATTTTATGTTGAAATACCAGAATCTGTTGACAAAGTGAAAATGTTTTAATGCAGAGTTGCATGATCAACACATAGTTGTTGGAGAGGGAAATAAGAGAAAAAGCATAAATTAATGAAACATTTTAATGTGATGGTCAGGTCACTCTCGCACACCAAGTTATATAATTTAAATACAAATCTATGTATCTAAACATTAACCCATGATTGTAAGTAGTTTCCTCAATATTCTGGTACTGATTTGCATGTACATTTATAACCTTAGCCTTGTTTTCTGTGTATATCTCGCATCTTATGGTTCTAATGCCCCATTCAAGCGTGGCATTAACAAGGACCATAAAAAAAGTTAACTGGGTGAAGATTCAGAACTTAAATGCTTGGATATCTGTAAATTTTTATTGTTTCATAGAATGCAACAGCCAACTTTATTTTTTGCTGTAACAGTTACTTAGAATCAATATGTCATATTTCCAAGGATCTTTTTTTTGTGGGTCAGATATTAAATAGTGTATCTGGACACTTAATTTATGCCAGAATCTGAAGGTTTTGTTTGATCCATGTAGCCAACCTTTGGCTGGGTTTTTTGTTGTAAACATGTAATTGATATATTAATAGTCTAGTTCTGATAATATGTATTTGTATATCATTTCCGATGCAGATCAAGAAAGCCAACTTCCGTGATGAGAATTTCTCAGTTAGTGTAAGCAAATCAGCAAATGAGATTGTTGCTACTTACACTAAGGATGAAACAGGAATGGATTTAGTCATTCGTCTCCCTGCATCTTATCCACTAAGGCCAGTAGATGTTGATTGTACAAGGAGCCTTGGGATTAGTGAGATCAAGCAAAGGAAATGGTTGATGTCAATGATGCTATTTGTTCGGAATCAGGTAATTTGCTATGGATTTAGTTCAGTCTTGCATTGTGTAGTTGGTTTCTGCTACCCACTACTTGTTTCTTTATGCATTGCATAATTGATTCACATATAACAGTTTGGTGAAAAATTCTTTCTCGTGAAGGACTACTTTTTAGTATTTTCCATTATTGCTTAGTGCTATACACCTTTGCAAAATTCAGTGGACAATGGATCATTATGAAAACCAATATTTATTTGAGCTGCTGAAGTTAACAATTTTTTTTCTGGTGCTGTAGAATGGAGCTTTAGCAGAAGCTATAGGAATTTGGAAGCGCAATTTTGATAAAGAATTTGAAGGTGTTGAGGAGTGCCCGATCTGTTACAGTGTAATCCACACCACAAACCACAGCCTTCCTCGCCTCGCTTGCAAGACATGCAAACACAAATTTCATTCTGCTTGCCTTTATAAATGGTTTTCAACTTCTCACAAATCATCATGCCCATTGTGTCAATCTCCGTTCTAAGGTTGCACCAGGAGTGATGAATTTTACCAATTTTACTTGCCGGTGATATCTTGCACTAAATGTAGTAGATGAAGAGAATGCATCGATAATGAGAATCAACGCTGATTTTCAGCATGAGACTCATTGCTGATTCAGGCAGGGTTGACTTACAAACTACAACCGGTTACCGAAAGTTCACATGATTCCTAGCTTGCTTTCTCCACTAAGCTTCTCTTAAGCAGATAGCTTTTAACACTTCATACCCTCGAAATTAAAGAGAAAGCTGGGCAATGGTATTGCGGTGACGACATGGGGATATCATATTTTCTATTAAGGCAGGAGAAGAGTATCCGATTCCTTTCCATTCTCAAATTTCTCCACTAATTAGAAATTTTGATTTTTTTTTTTTTTTCCGATGGTGGTAGTAATTATATTTTTGCAGTGCTTTTGTTCTGTTTAGGGGAGCTTATTTCTGATCGTAGGAGGCTGTCTGAACAAGTGGCTTTGTACATCTAGATTTTTTATATTGAATGTGGAAACAATCAAAGAGTAACGAGAAAGAATTGCCAGAATAAGAGGAGTAATTGTACATCTGTGAGCATTAGGCCATCAGCCATGAGAAGATTAATGTCAAAGAACATGGTAAAAATGAGAGACGAGAATTGTGCTACTTGAAAATTGGAGAAATGAATATCTTCATCAGTACTAGGTGGAAGTTATATGTAGACTTCCTGATACATTGGCTAACCGAAACTACCGGCTAACTTCCATGAAACTACATAACTGTCAAATTACATCTTAATGTAAGTTACATTTACAGTGTAGTAGGTAACAATTAAAGAGAACTGAGCAAATAGTCTCCACGAAGTGCGTAGAATGCAAGTACACGCGTTTGACTTTTGGTCAGCAAAATTTATTGCAATGATACATCAATGATCATGTTGACCAATGTTTGCATGTTGCCGTTTAAAGGCAGAAGCATTGTAAAGCAGCGTATTTTTTTAATATATTTTTTTAAATAGATTTTTTATTTTTATTTTTTTGTAAAATATATTTTAGAATATTTTAGTGGTTTTTTTATAAGAAATTATTTTATGAAGTAATTTTTTCTCATTTGTCCTTAAATAAAATTGGTGGAAACTTAAATTTGATTTTTCACAGGAATTAAGAAAATGATTAAACTTTTAAATTTTATAAAAAAATGTTTAGCTTCTTATTATACTCTTTTATTTTATTAATTATTTCACATTCATTAATTTTTATGAAACAACATTAATTATTAAGGGTAAAATTATTAATTAAACATTCATTGTTTATAGGATAAAGTTCATTTATTTCATAAGCAAGTTTTGGCTATTTATTTTGCTTAATAATTTTTTTATATACATTAAATTTTATTAATATAACAATGAAATCATGTAATATTATTTTCATGATCATGAATGTTAAATTTTAGACAAATGAAGCAGTCATAAATATGTAATCTTGTATTCAATATTTACTTATATTTTGAAAAGCATATTTATCCATTAAAATAAAGTTATCTAATAAATTATTAAATATATTTTAAATATTATAAAAAATTGTAAACTTAATCTATTTACTAACAAATCTTAAACTTATGGTTGAATTAATGAATGTCTATAAATAATTATTAAGACGAGTAAGTTAACTATGACTTATTTTTTAAATAAGTAGACCCCACTGTTGATTGATTTTATAAAATGAAAATAAAATTGGTAAAGTATCAAAGGAAGAAAAAAAATGGAAGGAGTAGCGTTTCAATTTTTCCAAAAAAAAATTGTTAATCAGTGTCTAAAAGATATCAATTAAGAAATTAAAAATAAAAAGTGAAAAAAAAAAACACTTATTCTAATAATTTTGAATGCATTTTAATGTAATTTATAATAAAATTATTTATTGATTATTTAATTTGCAATGCAACTGATTAAAAAGACACTTTCTTTAAATTAGCAAGTGTGTATTATACGCAATTTTAAAAAAAATAAAAATATACTAAATTAATAATATAAATTACAAATAATATAAATAAAATATAAAAATTGAACTTAATTCATAACTATTTCGCATTTTGCAAAAGCACTTGTAAATATAGAGAAAATATAAATTAAAATTATTTAAGGAAAAAATGTTGCTCTTGGTACATAAGAATTAGTTTATTGCCATAAAAGATACGAATTAAAATATAAAACATATGTTTTTGGAACTTTAAATTTTTGAAATCTCAAAAACTCATTTAAAAAAGTTTATTAACAAAAGACTATTTTAACAGTGATTTGCAAATATCTTATTATGTATAATTTTTTATTGAAGTAATCAAATTATTAATTAAAGAAATTCAAAAATTAAAATTTTCTTCAATCATGCAATTAATTAGAAAGAAAAAATTACTACTTTGATTTGATTCGGGAGCTAAAAGAGACATTGTCACAAATAAGAAAGACAAAGAGAATAAGTAAACTATATACAATACCAAGAAAACCTAAAACGCTAAGACAACCAACATACGACTTTTTACTTTTATATTATCCTCACTTAATGCATTTCTAATCATGCTCACACCTAAATTTTCAACGTAATTTTCTTTTAAATAGTTTCTATAATATTAAATCTTAAGGCTTGGAACGTGCTTTGACTTTAGAATGAAATAAATCTCTTCCCCCTCCCCATATTAATTTTTAATGAAAAAGCATTATGGTGGAAGTACATAAACAATTAACAAGGAATTCATTGGGAGTAAGATGAGGAAGTGGAATGACAAGATCTCCTGCAGAGGCGAACCACTAGGAGAATTATGGACTTTAGTCTAAAACAGTATTAAAGATAGGGCATGCATGCCTCATTCAGATTAATGAGATAATATTTGCACAGAATTGCAAAACCAGATAGAACCATACAACATGCGCATGCGACGTGTAAGGCACCCTTTGCATATTTCTCGTGTTTAAGTGGAGCATTCCGTTCACCATTTACTTTTGATGCTGATGCATGCAAAGATGCTAAAATGTTTAATTTCTTCCCATATTTTTTTATTAGAAGATTATGTAAATAAGTACGTTGTAAGTATACCCTTATAGTAAGTCTTGACTTATGCTTGCGCGAATTGGAAATTTGATGATTTCACACCATTAATCTTTTCACCAAATAAACAAAATTATGTTGGCAATTATTATTGCCCAATGATAACGTGAATGGAGAATTCCATATTACAAATCATGTAGCATATTATGATCTTTTAAGAAAGGCGAATGTGAGGTGCCCAATTACGGTTTTTCTAATAAATCCATTCATGTTAGGTCGGTGTGTCTTGTGGTCGAATATGATCCACTAAAGCCCCTTTAATCAAAGTGAGGATCAATCTGAATCATGTTATATGAGATAAGCTTTTATATTCAATCCATCACGAGATTTTTCTTAGTTGAATTTAAAGGTTATTTAGGATACGAGCGATATTTGTTTGAAATCTTGAAAGGCAATAGCATATACTTCCAGGACTGTGTATAATGGTCTTATAATTTATCATGCTTATTTGAAGGGTTTCTTTACACGAAAGCTACTCTATGATTTTCTACCCTGAAGTCACGGTCATAAGCCCTTTAAAACCAAGGTGGTTTGCATGAAACAAAATTAACTCTTGAAAATCATATTGTGAAGTACCAATAACTTAGTGACTCCTTTTTTAGCTATGAAAACAAGGATGTTTGATATTGAATTTTAGCTTTTTTTTGTTGAAAAAGGAAAAGGTATAAATGTGCATATTGTCACTCTTGTGTGCTTATTACTGCATTTAATTTTATTATATATTTGTGAAAGCCAACTTTTGAAAATGAGGTCATTTATGAATTTACTCTTTCTCACTTAATGTCATGTTATTATTTTTAGATAAAATATGTTTTGACTCTTCACTTACATTAGAGTGCAAGTTAATTTTTTAAAATGAGGATATGCAAACGTATTGGTGATTTTTGTAAATTTAATTTTTCAAAAATAATTTATAATTTTATAATCAAAATGTAATGATTTTATTTATTTATTATAATATTTGCGTGTATTTTTAAAAAAAATTGATAATATTGATACTAAAATGTAAAACTTTCATCTCATATAAAAATAAGCACTATTTTATTTTATTGCATCATATTATTATAAGGTTTTGTTTAGTAATATATGGAAGTTATATTAATTTACTGCATCTTTTTATTTTACGATTTCATTAACTCACTCAAAAGTATAATAATTTTTATCAACATTCGATAATATACAGTGACAGTTAATATGTTGATAATTTTTATATAAGTCTCTCAAACTGGATTTGAGAAATGGGATGGGGTTCATGTGGGGGTGGGTGGGGACACACACAAGGGTTCATATATAAATATTTTAAAGTACTTTCTTCAATATAATTTATTTTTATAACAATTATTTAATTATTAATTTAATATTTAAATTATAAATTAGATCAAAGAAATTTCAATCTGTTGAATATTTAAATTAAAAATATATTAATTTCACTTAATATTATTTTCTTAATATTATTTTCCCATAATTTAAGACATGCATAGTTATAAAAGTGGTTAAAATTTATACCACAAATTTATAGAAAAGTTGTCCCGTTACCGAAATGCTTAATATTTTATACAAAGCATATTATGTTGGAATATAAACCATAACATTATTTATAATACCGTGTAATGGTAAGACATTAAAAAATTTCTTTTACCTAATGTCTTAATATATATACAACACAAATGCAATAATAAATAATATATTAAAATTAAATTCTTTAAATTATAAAAAATTATAAAAAATAATAATAAATATTGTAACAACTAAAAAATAACATAATATAAATTATTTTAAATTTTTTTTCTATATAAAATGAAAGCTCAATACTCCACAAGAGTGCTTTGAGCTTATGTATGGTCGTGTTTATGACCTTGTATGGCCATGCTCATCTGAGAAAAATTTAATTATAAAGAGTTTTTAAGGTTTTTAAACTCTATAAAAGAGATATCAGATATCTAGTTTTACATCTTATCTTTTATTTTTTGATGTACCTTTCATTTCGTCTCTTTTGTATGAGATATTTGACATACTCTTGGCAGGACTTGGAGCTTCGAGCGACTATACTTGAAGATTAAAAACTCATCTCATTCTAGTTTTTCTTTTTTTTATGGCTTTGTTTATAATTGTTTTATTTATTTTCTTTAACATGAGTAACTAAGTCCATAACTAGAACTATGAGAATTCTTATTTATAAATTCATGAAATTTTGAAATTTGAATCTATGTTTAATTTCCGTATGTGATTAGTATTTATCTTATTGTGCATAATTATATAATCCTAGTTAATGAATCTATAAGATAAAACGAGAGAAAGGATTAGGTGGATCAAACCAATATTTCTCTTCCAATCATTATTAAATTAACAAGTTCATAAATATTTTATGCTTTATTTAATTAGTGTCTTACATGACCATTAGAGATATTAATTTAAATAAAAGAATATTAACATTATATGACTATTAAGTATTAATAGTAATTGTATGAATAATTAGTAATTATAAAAAAATTAAATTTAAAATTAAAAAAAAAATAACAAAAGATTAATGAGACCAAGACGACATATATTATATTTCTTATTTTTAATTTTATAAATTTTTATTTTAATTAATTTTATATCTTTTAAATTTAAATAATTGAATTAAAAAATTTTAATAATTAAAAAAACAATAATTTAATTTTTTTTTAAATTTTTATTATTATTTATCGACGGATACACTTGTCGACCGAATACTATAGGTTATATACTTAATAAAAAAATAGAATTAACCCCATTCACGGAAATAGGAGTTGCGACTCATTCAGCAAATTATACCGCATACATACATAGGTGACCATGAAGGAAACCAGCTCTACTATTCTTTTATTTGAGAGGTCGCATAGAACCAATTCAATAACTAATCTTGTTGAAATTTAGCTTATACATAGTTCTATTATCCTAACAATAAAAATTTGATATCATGTTGAATAGTACACGTAAACGGATAGATTAAATTATATTGATATAAATTACATAAAAGATTATATTGTCAATAATTTTATACAAAATTTTAATTTTATAATTATATATTATCTTTATTATTTCTGTCAGATTTTGTTAAAATTGAATAATTATAAAAATATAGTTAAATAATTTTTTTTTTATATATTTCAAAAGTATATATTATATTAACAATATTAAATAATTTTACATTAATATAAAATTTTGTAAACATATTTGTGTAATAAAAGCTTTTAATTCAACAGTTGATTTTAAAATAAAATCATCTAATAAAAATATTAAATAATGTAATTTTTAATGTAACTTATATCTATAATTTAATCCATTTCTTTCACACAAAATATTTCCCCGGCTGATATTACTGTCTACCATGTTCACTAAGGTTGAAAGTGTTAGAATGCAATAATATCCAATAATAATATATAATTAATTCTCAACAAAGAGTGAATAAAAGAGATTATTAGAAAGACGTGTATTATTGTAAAAGAGATTACTCTGTACAGTAGTATTAATAAGACTCTCGGTTAATAAAGAAAAAAATAATATATAATTAATTATCTTGTAAGTTTAAAATATTAGAGTAACTTTTGAAGAATTTAGAGGTATCATAGTATTTTCTAAATTGACAAGAAACAAATATTTAACAAGATTGTAAATATTAAAACTTATAATTTCGATTTTTTTAGTGTTATCATTGATAAAACAACTAAAACATATATTTTATGATAAATATGAATCATGGTAAGACATGTATTAGAACGAAATCAAAACTTCTGAATTATAATTTCTAATATTTACATATTAGTTAAATAAAAATTAATACAAAAGCTAATTAATATTTTTAAATTCTTAACGCATAATTTTTAAATTATAATTTCTAATTCTATCTTGTATATTCTTTATAATTACTCTGCTTATTTTTATTGTTTTTGTTATTGTAATTAATTATTATTACTGTTAATTAATGTCATCATTCTCATCCTTTGTCATGCCCTTTTTATGACTATTGGTCCATCATCTTATTATCTTTCTACATCACTGTTGTTACTATAATCAAATTTGGTTGATATCATTATTTTTAATCATTATTACATCACCACTATTATTCTTATAATTGTCACCATCATACTTTCACTACATTATCTTCACCATCCTCCTTTGTAGTTAGGTTTCTTTTTCGCTCTAATCCAATACAATTTTATTCACAGGAGAGAAATATTAACAATATATTTTTTATTATTTATAAATGTTACTTTTTTAATTTAATATTCTTAAAAATTTTAATCAATAATTAAAAATGCATTAAAAATAATATGTTAGATAGTATATTCCTAACAATCTTCTTAATATATTAAATGAATTTAAAATATAACTTAAAATTGTAACTTTATACTTTAATCCTTTGCCAACTATGTATATATACGAAATAGGATTTCATACCAATTATAATTCTCAAAAAAATTCAAATTGAAATTAGAATTAACAGTTATATTTTTAGCTTCATATCAATCATGTGTCAACCGGATCTCTTTAAACTATTCCTTTTATGTTTTATTATAACTATATTTAAACGACTAAATAATTGACTTTCTGATTAATGTTTAAAATCTCGGACCTATAAATTAAAGAGCTATTTTACGTACTTCTTCCTTATAATTTGAAACAAGAAAACGAAAGAATTTAAATCGTTAATTAATAACGTCCCTGGTTTTAGTCTTAAATGTTATTCTTTTATTAACCTCGATATTCTTCCCCTAATTTGTGTTGAAACTCAAATTTCAGCTCCATATGAGGAGTTGATTGTTTCTTATTACAAGTTTTTCTACGTCACTTTGTTAATTAAACAGGTGAATGATTAGAGTATATGAACGCATCAGACAAACAGTAAATGCCCCTATCAATCCTTTGGAATGGTATAGAATTTACACCAAGAAAGCGGTGGTGCCAACTGCGAACTCTATTTATAACTTACACACTTTAAACTGAATAATGCTTGGTTTACACTATATATATATATATATATATATATATATATATATATATATATATATATATATATATATATATATATATAATAAAAAGATATTTTTATGGCCCATTTTAATATTTACCAAATGTTTTTCTACCTTTTTCATACTTCACTGAAAAAGTTAAACCATTAGACAAGGAGATGAAAAAGAGAGGGAGAGAAAAAAATATTTTTTGTAGAATATAGGTGAAAGTGTGTGTAAAACAAATTAATGTAAAACAATCAGCATTATATCCCTATTAATTGAGAATGAATTATTTTATGTAAAATTTTAACATGAGGATTTATGTATAAATATGATTCTTTTAAAAATAATACACTTTTTTATAATAATTTTTATACAAGTTTTACAATATTTAATTTTTTACAATAATTTATTTTATACTTTTTCCTTTCCAACCTTTATTTGTAATGGAAGTATTATTATTATTATTATTATTATTATTATTATTATTATTATGATGTATACACGTGAAAATAACGTTAGTCTTTTTCTTAAAAGTAAACATATATAGAATGAATTAGTATTTATTGTTATTATATATCAAACTTGTACCATGTAAGATTTACAAATCTAATCGTTGAATACTTTGATATTTTTTTTTCATCATCATATATATTAAATTTTATAAAATTTAAATATTTGTTGATATGTTATTTTAAATTTGATATTTATTTATATTTTAAAAAGATAATACCTATTAAAATAAAATAATATAATAAAATATTTATCAATTTTATTTTTATATAAAATTTTATAAAGTTGATAAAAAAAAATTCTTTCAACCGAACTGTATTAGTTAAGTTAATCAATCTCGCATCACATTGTATGCAATTATTTTGTAAGTTTGGATGAATCCTGATCCTAAGTCGTATAGAATATCCACCAGAGGATCCCTTCTCCCTACTAATTTGATCTTAGATCGACAGCTATATAAGAACACTTCCGTTCCACTCCCATTATCACCTGAAAGAAGCTATTAACAAACAAATTATCTTCCCTAATTATCTTACTTTTTGTGTTCCGGAGCTGGCAAATTCACAGAGAACATGCCTAGAAGAATTAGAAGATCAAGAGAGTCGCAACCAAAGAGTGGTAACAGACTTATACAAAGCCATAGTTTCCAAAGACACTGACACAATGTATCGCCTTCTTGCCCCATATTTGGAGTGGTGGTTCCACGGTCCACCATCTCATCGCCACCACTTGATTCCTCTCCTCACTGGTTCTTCATCTTCTTCACCATCATCAAAGCCTTTGGTTCCTGATCTCGTTGTTGGCTTCGGATCAGTGATCATTGCTGAAGGCTACGATGACACCAATATGTTGTGGTGGGTGCACGTGTGGACTACCTCTGTTGATGGAATCATCACTGAGGTTAGAGAGTATGTTAACACTTCTGTGACTGTCACTAGGCTTGGTTTGCATGCACAAGCTTCATCTCAAAAACTGGGGTCCACCGATGTTGTTGCTGCTTCCACGTGTCAAAGCATTTGGCAAAGCAAGCTTTGTGATGAGTCTGTGCCTGGACTCATTCTTGCAATCTAGTAAAACGGTTGTGCCATTAAAGTGATGTTTGAACCCTTGGTTTCAGAAGTTCACTCTTCATGTGTGAGTTGTGTTCATTGGTTACGTTACTCACGTTAAAGGAGTCGTGTTTGTGTGTGTGGTCGTGGTCTGTGGCATCTATTTTTGTCTGTTATGTTTGGTTTGGTTTGTTAAAAATAGTTATATGAATATAATCCTTTTGATATAAACTAACTTTTAAAAGTGAGTTAAGCTCAATAGTCAATTTCCAAATAAAAACAATGACACTGGTTATATATATATATGTATATTACTTCGTATCATAATCAAGTTTCATGCCTTCTAAATATTTGTTAAGGCTCAACATCATTGTCGCTACGAGATGAATTCTTAATCTTGTCAAATTTGGGTTATGTTATGCTGTTAATGTTACATTCAATTCAAGCATGACTAACCCTTCTAAATTCAATCGAATCTGTTTAAGCGGAATGTGATTTTGGATATGCGTAATCTGTTTTTGTTTTTTCATATCTAAGAATTCTACTTTGGACTTGTAACTAAGGTCTTCATTCTACTCTTGGTTTGATTTCAATCTGTTTGATACCTTTTTATAGTACTGACCTATTTACGGTGAAAAATGACAATTGTAAACAAATAATCTAAAGATTAATCTGAGAACTGGATTAGGTCCTTTTTGAGTTTTTTTAAGTGTGTTGTTAACGTAACAATAAAATAGACGTCGCAAATTAAACAATTTAGCAGGAATAGTGAATATGAAATGCGTAAAATGAAGACACAACGTAGAGGTTCTTTACAAAAAAGTGCGAAATAGGAAACAAATTGCAGAAACGAAATAAGCAACAAGCTGGAATTAAAAATGCAGAAAGGTAAATATGCATGAATGTAAAAGTGCGTCAATGTAAACGTACGACTCCTCATAACAGTGGACAGCGGCCACCGTGAGTCTCCTTGTAGCTGGTGTCTGGCGCGGTGCAGGGTTTCAGCGTGCAGAGAATTTTAAGTGCGGTATCTAGGTGCAAAAAGTCGTCATTCGTAAAATGACACTTTGGGGTATTTATAGGCAGGAAGACCACCACTGTTCTTCTCCTTTTGCAGGCACTTCTTAGTAACTACCTTCAACTATTGATGTCCATTATCCATGATTGCTTGTGATCGTGTTGTTAGTTGGGATTTTTTTTGTAACCGATATCGCCCACAATCTCCTTTGCCTAGTGGTAAATGTTGATGACTGCTGGTAACCGCTTTTAGATTTTGCAATGACTTGACCTATCAAGACTTTTGTTTTTCTATCTTTCGAGTATTTCTGGGAGAAATCTAAGAGGCTCATTTAGTGTTATGGCCTTAGAATAATTTCTCCTTGACTTCTCTTTTCGACTAATTCTAGGGTTTTGAGAGCTTGTCTTGATCTCGTGGACTTAGAATATTTTCTTTACTCATTCCTATTTTTTGAGCAATTCTGGAGGGACTCTGGAGCTCAACCAGGTTTGTGGACTTAGAATATTTTCTGACAACTTCCTGTTTTTCGAGCAATTCTGGAAGGAATATGGAGCTCAACCAGGTTTATGGACTTAGAATATTTTCTGATCACTTCCTATTTTTCAAGTAATTTTGGGTGTTAGGGACTTGGAAACTCCTCGAAAAGCCATCAGTTTTGTGGACTTAGAATATTTTCTTGTCAGTCCTGTTTTTCGAGCAGTTTTGAGTGTCAGTGACTTGGAAACTCCTCGAAAAAGCATTCACTTTTGTGGACTTAGAATATTTTCTTGTCTTTCAAGCAGTTTAGAGACAAATCAACAATATGACAAAAATCTCCTAAAATAGCTCGAAATGTGTCTCTTTTAATAAAAACTAAAGGTCTTGGATAATCTTCCAATATTCTCTTATGTTCAGGCCTATTTTTTGGCTCCTTCTTGACCCTTAGAATTTTATCGAAATGTAACTTCCTTTAACATGATTTTTAACTTAAAAAATTTTCCTTATTCCAAACATGACCACTATATATATATATATATATAGCCTCGATAATTAATTAGAAAGAAGCAGCCTAAAAATTCTGGGGGGCACACAGACCAAGTCTGTGTGGTTTTGTTACTATGTATTGGAATAATTTTTGAAGGTCATCTTTACGATTTTTGTGAACTCGATGGACTTAATCAAAGCACAATCTTGGGAAAAAAAAATCTAAAGCAGAAGGTAATAAGTATTTCTTTTAGAACAAAGAGAACCTTTATTAAAAGATAAGCGGTGCAAAAGTTGTTAAACCACATTCCATTCATAATCATCCAAGTCAGCTAACTGATCTGCATTTTTTCCCTCTATTGACGTGCCTAACACAAATACATGCATACTACTTTTGGAAATAGCAAATCTGTCATACTAACAGCAAAATCCAACTTCCAAAGTCTGTTTTGTGCGTCTAGCACCCAGCAAATGTCTAGAGATGAATTGCTTTCAATGATAACATAATTGAATTTGAACTCCTCACAAAATAACAAAGCATTTAATAGGTTTCACTTGGGCCTCGTACTCATATTCTTAGATCGATCATAATTTATCTACTTTTCTTATTTCTCTCTTCTTTTAGGGTAGTGATATTTTGAGATATCTTAAAAGAATGCTATTTTGGTATAAGAAATTAAGATATTTATATATCGAGAGTGAGAGAATATAAGATATAACGAGTGATGTGATAGAAAAAGATAAAAAGAGTTATGGGATAGAAAAAGATAAAAAAAAAAATAGATGTAAGAGAAAAAATTGTTTGGAAATATTATTATTGTTTCTTTTATATTATATCAGTTACTACAATTTTTCTTTTCTTTTTTTTCTCACCCCCAACTCCACCCCTTAATAGAATGTCAAAATATCATTATCCTACTTTCAAAACGATTTCTTACGTTTCTATACTCATTTTTTTTTCTATATATATAAATTTTTTATAACTTTCTTTCTATCTCTTTTTTCACACCCACCCATTTCACGAGTGTAGTGGATTTTTTTTTTCTTCCAAGATAGACCCAACGCTCCCCCAATGCCATCAGGCCCGGCCTTCCTTTGAATGAGCCAACAATGTTAAATTTCAAAATATTATTGAAGTTGGACAAAAAAATTTACTATCGAAGAGGAGATTCCCAGTCTCCTGATTTCAATGATTTTCTTTATTAGACAGCCATTTTAATGGTATGTTCGTAGAGAAACTCCTTACATATATCATACAGACACCACTCCATACATGAAAAAAAAAATGCACCATGCATTACCAACTTTGATGTAATCGATTAATGAAGCTATCAAGCTGGTTCCTTTAGACTTAACTTTATGTCATCCCGATTCATCTATATGGAGCAAGCTGAAGTAAACAAAAACAAACCTACCATCCATACTCTACTATTTAGGTTAAATTATAAATTACTTGATAAATTTAGTTCTTACATAAAAAAAAAATATAATTTAGTCCTACGGCAAACATTTTAGAATTAGTCTTTATCATTAAAAATATGTTAACAAAAGTTAAATTAAAAATGACCAAAACATTAAAAAAGTATTTGTATAAAGAATAAAAGGTAAATATCAACTATAAAAACTAATTTATAAATAAGTATCAATTATTAAAATTAAATGTATATTATAATAAAGGTTTAAATATGTTATTGGTCCTTATAAATGTAGGCTATTTTGTGATAAGTCCCTAAAAATATTTTTGCTAGGAAGTAGTTCTTGAAAAGTTAGAAATTTAGGATTTAATTTCTATTGTTAACCTCCTTCTGTTAAGTGCTGAGTTAGCTAACGAAAAGTCAGCTTAACACTCTACGTGGCTTATTCGAGTCCTAGTCAGTTGCCTACATGGATCCATTCTTGGTGAGGTAGATTGCTGAGCTAGGTTATAGGGAAACACAAATGAAAAGTAAAAACCCAAATTTTTAACCTCACTTTGTTGTCTTATATTTAGGGCAAACAGTAAAAAATCCTAATCTTAGTTTCTTATCTCACGTCGTCATCTTTCTCAACAGTATCGAAGCCATTGAAAGGAGAAAAGTTGCAATACAATTTTATGGCAACAAAATTGCGAGCTTCAACATCTTCCTCAATAGTATCGAAGCCATCAAGATGACGTCTATATGGTTGTGGATAATTACTAGTCCTACTAACCTCCAACAGCAAGAAAAATCCTCAAAGGGCATTTTGGAGATGTCTGAATTAAAAGTAAGTAATAAATGTCCTCCATGAGCATGGTATTGTATTGTTCATCTGTTTTTTAAAAATTTCTTACATTAGGGGCGTGTGTAATGTGTAGTTGAATGAGTCTTGCAACTTCTTTGAATGGGCTGATGAAGGAGTTTCTAAGGGAGTGAAATGTCTGTGTTTGAATGAGGTTTAACAATCATTGAAGACCATGTGCATAGGATTATAAAACTAGAAAGAAAACTTTCATGTGAGAAGGTAAAAGGATGGATAATGTGTTATATAGTTGGAGTTTCTTGGGCCATAATTGTTTTATAGTTTATGTATATTGCCATGATAGACTAAAATGTAATTTATGTCCACTGTAGTAATATGAAATTACAATTTTAGAATTCTGCAATTATGTTTAGCTATTGTAAATTTTAAGTTTGCAGTTGTGTAAATCTGTTTAAGTATTGTAATTTTTAGGTATGTATTCTATGGTGGCTTGACTCATGTAACCAGATTTTTCATAAATAAAATACTATTTTGTTAACTGTGATATTGTTGAACAACTGTCGTGTGTAATGTTTGACTTGTTTAAGTAATTTGGGTTGATTCTAATTGCAATTTATCTAACTATTTTTATTGATATTGCAATAAATAACATTGTCAGGAGTGAATAAGAGGACTAATTGCAATCTGCCAACAGAATGATATTAAACAAAAAAAAAATAACAAATGTATGTATGTAAAAAAAGAGGCTTCGAAGTTCTGTCAACAAAATACTTGCCATAAGTACATCCAAAATAACCTTATATTGTTTTGTATATTGTCTA